AGATTTGTTTTGCAAAGTATATTTTATATGAGATATAAAAGTATATATATTATGGTTTTAAAAGGTTTGCAAAAAGGTTTTAATTCTCGGGATCCATATAAGTAGAGAGTGCAACACTGTTCCTTGCAGCCGAGGGAGATGTCCTCTCCTGTCGGGCAGTGTATGATCATTATGAGCTGTGAGGTTAAGTGTAAGACCATTGAGGATAATACCTGATGGGATAATCTTGCATCTACCCACAGTCCCTGGGTGTTACAAGGTGGTTTGGCCCAGGGACCACTTAGGGTAAGTGTTGGGCCCATTTGATGGGTTTCAGGGGGTGCACTGTCCATAACAGTGTATTCGGCCAGGCCTTGTAACAAAGGCTGGGCCGGACCCATGTGTTTGATGTGTAAATCAATGCTTGGGTCTCATGCCATACAAGGAAGCCCAACTGGGCAGCAGTTAGGAAGGTTAAGTGAGCACATAAGCTTAATGGGCCTAAAGCCCATTTCGAACTGAGCTATTTAATTAGTCAATTATGGGGCGAATTCTGAGATGGATTAGCATATAGTAATTATTGTTATATTCAAAATAGTTAAAAATGTTACTAAAAGTATTGTTATTGATTGTTTAATAAAATATTATAATTACTGACTATTACTAATAAATACTGTTAGTTTAATTAATTTAATTTAATTTTGGTAATTATTAATTTAATGAATATTGTTAATAAATCCTACTCATAATTTTAATAATTACTGTTATATTAAAAATAACTAAATAATATTATTAAAACTATCATTAATGATTATTTAATTAAATAGTATAATTACTTACTATTATTGATAAGTTTTGTTAATAACATTCTAACAACTTACTCTTTTACCGTTTAGTTCGAACGGATGACTCATTTTGACAACAAAAATTACAAGCAAAAAATTACAAAACCATTATGGCCACTGGTTTTCGGGTCGATAGTTTGATCATCCGGTTCGAACGGACAGTCCGTTCTGCCAACAAAAATTATAGGAAAAAAAATTGAGTTGTGAGGTCCATTAAGTAGTATCATATGTGTTATGTCATTTGAGTGTGTCTCATACGACATGAAAACGGAACCGTTTTGGCCACTGGTTTTTAGATTGACGATTCGGCCATTCGGTTCAAACAGACGGCCCGTTCTGACAAAAAAAAATTATAAGAACAAATTTACATAATCGCTTTGGCCACCAATTTTCAGGTCAGCGGTTTGATCGTCCAGTTCGAACGGACAGTCTGTTTTGACAACAAATTTTACAGGCAAAAGATTGAGTGTGTGAGGTTCATTGAGAAGTATCATACATGTTATGTCATTCGAGCGTGTGACTCATACGACCAAAAAATTGAACTGTTATGGCCACCAGTTTTCGGGTCGACGATTCGACCGTTCGGTTAGAACGACTGACCCGTTATGACAACAAAAATTAAAAAAAAGCCAAAAACCATCGAACGGGTCAATGGGTTGATGATTTGACCACTTAGGTCAATGGGTTGTTGACCGATTCAATGGTTTTTTGCCAAGGACCAAGACTGGGGTAAAACGGAACTGGTTGTCTGGACAGTTTCCAATTAAAAAAATTAAATAAAAAAACAGACGACCCATTCTGACAACAAAAATTACATGCAAAAAATTGAGTGTGTGACGTCCATTAAGCATTATCATACGTGTTATGTCATTCGAGCATGTGACTTATACAACCTGGAAATGGAACCGTTATGGCCACCAGTTTTTGGGTCAACGGTTCGAACAGATGGCCCGTTCTGATAATAGAAATTAAAAAAATAAATAAATGACCAAAAACCATTGAACGGGTCAACGGTTCAACCGCCCGGGACAATGGGTCTTTGACCGATTCAACGATTTTTGGCTACGGACCGAAATTGGGATAAAACGGAACTAGTTGCCTAGATGACCGAATAAAAAAATAAAAAGCAGTTAAAAACCATTGAATAGATCAACGAGTCAATAATTCGACTGTTTAAATCAATGAGTCATTGAACGATTCAACAATTTTTGGCCAAAGACCGAGTCAACGGGTCGACAAGTCGAGGGTTCCATTCCAGCCCCTGCGAAGCAAAGCCCCTCTACTAGTATAGTATTATAAGGCTTACACTGTTCCTTGCAATGGTCGATTACTGCATCTCACATGCTCTCACCATTCAGTGATAGTTTGATAATGTAAAATACTTAAGTGCTTACATTGAGTCATTGACAAGTTATGTTAATAACCATTAATGGTGATTTAATGAAACCTAAGAGAAGGTGAATTTTAGACAATAAAACTTAACAGTGGGGTTTTTTTTTTGTGATTAAAAAATCAGGATGAATTTATAGAGAAATATGAAAAGTTCATGGTGAATTTTTAGATAACATCAATTCTAAAAACAACGAAATGGGTTTTGTGCAAACTTAAACCTAATCTGAAATGAATTTGGATCTCCCGCCCACATTTACCCACGGGACACTACAACTGTACATTGGAAATATCTCCTCAACATTAGTAATATATAAATACAGAATATCTCACCAGTCACCATGAATAATAACATTAGTGTTTGGTTACAAAATTATTTCCACGGGCTTCATTCTTTTTTCATAATGAAAAATCAGCCCATAAAATAAAAATTGGGGCAACTTCATGTCCTGTCCTGCTCATTTTTCATTTTTTAAAGAAGCTCTATGCCAAATGTCATAAACTGCTAGTCTATGTCTACAAAACCACCTCCATAAATGTTCATGCCAATGTGCATTGAACGCCGACATCTACCAATAAACATCTATGCAATGATTTTGGAGACGTAGACTGCCAATTTATGACCGCTACACATTTTTCTAAGAATGAAAATGAGCAACAGGACATTTTGTAGTTTGAAAAAAAATTATTTTTTAAAAAAAAATGTTTGATTCATAAAAATATTTTCTCATTACACTCATTTTTATTCATTATTGTCCATTTTAGAGTTTGTAACAATGAAAAAGAATGAGAGTTAAATAAAACATGTTCAGTGTCCCGTGGTAGATCTTTGTGGGTAGGAACCCAACCTCAATGATGCACTTTTGATTTAGGGTAAAATACAAAAACCTCCCTTAAAATCGGCAAAAACCTCAATGATGCACTTTTAATTTTATCAATTCCCTTCTATTTTCAAAAAATCGGCAAAAACCTCCCTTCCGTCAACGATCAAGACGAAAAACGTTAAACCGATGATATTTTTCCAAAAACCTATTTTACCCCTCCGACTGTGATCCTATCGTTTCTGGTTCCAATTGGCTCAACCTCTCCTCTCCTTCCCTGTCCGACCTTAATCGACTCGTCTTCTCGGATACCCAAAAAAATCCCAACACGCTCCAAGCTCAAGTCCCGACGTGAGCCCCACTGCTGCTGCTGTCGTAGCTCAATCTCATAGAATGTGCCCAACTGGTCTACTTTGCACCAGAACGAGTCATCAAACCACATATTCGACTCCGGGAATCAGTGTCCGAATGTGGCGATCCGACGGAAAGAGTTGTCTTTTATTTTGCTGAAGCTCTTTACAGTCGAGTTTTTTCAAAAACTAGGAGAACCGCACCAACGTTCGAGACCTCGTCGGAGGATTTCACACTCCCTTGTAAAGCTTTAAAGGATGCCTACCCATATTCGAAGTTTGCCCATTTGACGGCGAACCAAGCGATACTCGAAGTGACCGAGACGGCGAATCGGATACATATCGTCGACTTCGGAATAGTTAAAGGAGTTTAGTGGGCGGCGCTCCTCCAAGCCATGGCAACTTGGTCCATCGGGAAACCCTCTAGCATCCGAATATCCGACATTCCTGCTCCCCCACTGGGGGGATCACCGGCGGAATCACTGTCCGCCACTGGCAATCGTCTCTGCGATTTCGCCAAGCTTCTCGATTTAAATTTTGAGTTCTAGCCTATCTTGACGCCGATTCACGAGCTTAACGAATCAATATTCCGGATTGACACGGAAGAGGTTTTGGCAGTGAATTACATGCTTCAGTTGTATAACCTGTTGGACGAGACAACAGTTGCCATGGAGAGGGCTTTGCGGCTGGCGAAATCTCTGAAGCCCAAGGTCGTGACACTCGGGGAGTACGAGGCGGGCTTGAACCGGGTTGATTTCCTCAACAGTTTTAAGACTGCGTTGCAGTACTACTCGGCGGTCTTTGAGTCGCTTGAGCCAAGCTTGACAAGAGATTCTACGGAGCGCATCCAGATTGAAAGCTTGCTGCTTGGGAGGCAGATTTCTGGTGTTGTTGAACCGGAAGAAGGGCCAATGAGATGAGAAAGAATGGAGGAAAAGGAGTAGTGGAGGGTTTTGATGGAAGGGTGTAGATTTGAATCTGTGGCTTTCAGCCATTATGCGATGAGTCAGGCAAAGATTCTCCTATGGAACTACAATTACAGTTCTTCGTATTCTCTAGTGGAATCACCGCCCGAGTTTCTTTTGCTTGCATGGAATAGCGTTCCCCTTCTCACTGTTTCGTAATGGCGCTAACGAGTTTAGATAGCTCGTTTACAATTTCCAACTGGATATTTTTTCTCTGGTGTGGAAGTACTACGTGGATATTTTCTCTGGTGTGGAAGGATTACGTGGATATTTTGCAAATAGTTCAGATGATGTATAAGGATAAAAATGTAATTCTATATGCTTTCGTCGATTTTTTTAAAATAAAAGGAAGATTTTTATTAAAGTTAAACTATAGAGGAAATTTTTATGATTGTCAGAAATTTCAGGACAGGTTTTTGTATTTTAGCCTTTGATAGTTGCAAATAATCAATTCGGATTCGAATGTGACCAATTCCGTTCCGAACCCCACCCGGTTACAGCCCTTAAATGTATACAAATTACAAACTATACCGGGCATCGGCGTCGAGCCTTGGCATTCTTTGTCGTCGCCTGAAGCCTACTATTTTCAAAGTTCACTGTATGGCGAGAGCAGCTCTCTTTTACTTAGTTCGCTCACAAAGGAAACAGTTTTCCTTGGCAAATTTCCGAACAGGTTCTCTTCTCACCCTGTGCATTCCTTTCCTGCGGTGTCCGTCTAGTTTCTGGCTTTGGATTTATACGTTTTTGGTTTTTCCTTCAAGTTACTAATAGCAGGCGAATATGAATGCCTTAAAATCCATAATTCCTAGAAATATGTTAAACATATCAACCAGAAACCTTCAACACCTGCACTTGTTTTCCTAATTCATGATTTTAGAGAGATCAAAACATAGGGTTCGAAATCGATTCAGATAATGATTATTAATGTTTTTCCCTTTCTGTTGCGAAGCTCAACTAAGTTCACTCACCGGTTTCTCGCATGGTTGCAATTGACATCTAGTTCTAGACTTAAATATAGATCATTAAATTTGATGAAGTATCAAGACATTCTCTTCGTATGCCCCGATTAATATTATTTTTCATTTTATATTTGTCTGGTAATTATTTTTTCTTGGTATCTGTGATATGGTATCTGTGATATGAACCTTAGCAATAGGCTGGACAATCAAGTGAAGTGAATGATAAAAAAAGTATGATCACAGATATAACAGTTTCTACATTCCTTACAATTGGTTTGCTAGAAAATCTGCAAAGTCTTTTTGGTGGACTATGATAATAAGGGAAAGATCACCTAAGAAAGGTAGCTTTCGAGGAAAGTAGACAAGCTACAGAAATAAAGCCGTTCGATTTGTAGAAAAATGCATTTGAGTTAAGTGTATGAACGGCAACTATCTAGTGAATTGGAAGACAGTTTGCAAGTTAAAAGAAGAAGGTGGTTTGGACACTGGTCGTTTATTGGCTTTTTTTTTTTATCAATAACAGAATTCATTCATTGAGATAAAAACTATAAAATACATGGAAGCAAACAGGGGGAGATAAACTCTCTTAGCTCTCCTGAAAAGAAGAAAGATTACAACATTGCCTAAAAAAACTGATTCTTCCCACCCCTTGTTTAGCCAGATAATCAGCAGAGGACTTGGCATCTCTTTTCACCCACTGAAGTATGACCTCCATGTCTTGTAACAAATTCATAATTCTCCTATGCTCATAGATGAAACCCCACCACCCATATCCTCCTCTTTCTGAAGCCAGTTCATAACCAACTTAGAGTCCCCTTCAATTACCAATTTACAAATAGACAACTCCATGGAATTTTGCACACCTTCCAATACAACCATCACTGCAGACCTCAAAGAGTCTCCTACACTAATTGGATTTGAAAACAAAGCAATAACTCTTCCCTCCTCATCCCTAAAAACTCCTCCAATGCCGGAGGGACCTGGGTTTCCTTCACTGCTACCATCGAAATTCAGCTTTATGAAACCTTCACTAGGTAGGGAGTAGGGACCAAGATGGGAACATGGCTCTTCTTGGCAAATGGCTTGGGTACTTCCCCTTGGAGCAGGATAAATTTTGGGCCTCCATCATCCGAAGCAAATAAGGAAGTAACATTAACGGTTGGGACAGCAACCTGGAGTTGATTCGATTCCCCTCCACTCATCCTTGGAAAGGTATTTCTCAAATCTACTCTATTTTCTTCCCCTTTTTGAGATATTGTGTTGGTGATGTCAATCAAATAAAATTGTAGTCTGATTTATGGTGCGTACACAACCCTTATGTCAAGTCTGTCCGAGTCTTTTTCAATTTGTCCACAACAAAACAGCCTTGATTTCTTTGGCACTTATTAGAGGAAACTGCGGTCTGTCCTTTAATTTCCAGTTTCGTAGAGCCTTGAGTGACTGGGAGGCTACTGAAATTTTCTCTCTTTTGGTTGCTTTAAATGATGTCTTTCCATCTTTGTCCCTCCCAGGTGAAAGAGTCTGGTCCCTTATCTCCTCCGGTGTCTTTACCACAAAGTCATTATATCTTCATCTTGTTTCTGGGTCAATGAACTTCCCCCTTCGGGAGATCCAGTCCCTCCTAGAGTCGAAGCTCTGGCCTGGTTGGTGGCCATGGACAGTGTGTTGACAGTTGATCACCTGAAATCTAGAGGCTTTAGCATGGCTAACAGGTGCTGTTTGTGTGAGGGGCAGGAAGAGGATGCTACTCACCTGTTCATTTCCTGCAAATTCTCAAGCTTTTTATGGAAAGTTTTCACATCAATGTTCGGGGTCTCAAACTTTCACCCAACTTCAACAGCAGAAATCTTTTCTACTTGTCCTAGTCTGAATGGGAATAAGAAGGTAAATCTGCTATGGAGGTGCATCAAACTCCTGTATTTTCAGATATGTACTGTGGAAAATGTTTTCTAATTTGAATTTTGGTCTGTAATCGGGTGATGTGAAGTCACCTCCTGATCTTTTTCTCTTCAATAAAATTTTTATTCTCACTTATCAAAAAAAAAGTATGTTCCTACAGAAATTTTCTTTTTCACGTGGGAGGTGGGCCTGTGGTAGAATCGATACCTGTGATCTGATTCAAAGGAAAAGGAGCAGTACTCTTTATTCCTCTCCTCATGTTTGTCTGATGTTGCTCGAGAGATGGCGAATCAGTGGGCCACCTTGTCATCAATTGTGTAATTTTGAAAAGTTTGTGTCAGTGGCCTAAACAATGTTAGTGATTTCTTGTTTCAGTGGCCTAAATGCAAGTTGAGCCTTCATGGGAAAATTTTTTGGAGGATGATTATTCCTGCAGGTATGTGGTGCATTTGTGTGGATTGAAATAAGTGAGTCTTTGGAAATCTTTCTAGTACATTGGATTGTGTTAAAAGGAAAGTCCACCTTTTCGCTTCTTGGATGATCAACTCTCCTCTCTTCCCTGGTGTTAGTCTCATCAGCTGAATGGCAACCTCCTTCATTTTATACATCCCTCACATTCCATCAATTGGATTCAAAATGCCCTTGATTCAAGACCTGTTCTGTGATTTCTTTTTGAAATTTGATGGTAGTTGTAGAATTTCTGATAGCGACAGGGGTCTTGCTGGATTTGGGGGACATATTTTCAGATGCAGGAGGTAATCTGATTTGGGTTTTCAGTGGGCTGATTGGCTTGGCAGACTCTTTGGAAGCTGAAAGAAGAGCCCTTCTCTTTGGCCTAAGGTTTGTCAAGTCTCTTGGTGCAAGACCGCCGCTGGTGGAAGGTGATTCTAGGGCCCCATTCGCTTTTTGGGAAGTTACTTACTGGGGTAAATGCACATACTTGGGTAAGTGTATCCTGGGAAATACATACCTGGGTAAATTTTCTTACCCATGTTCTTTTAGTTCCCAGGTAAATGATGCAATGACTTTTTTAGCCATAAAAAGCCATTATTAAAAGGGGCAGTTTTGTCCCATCCAAGTGTTGGCAACTTCCCCCTAGGTGGGAAAGTTACTTACCCACCTAGGAGATGGGTATCACTACCCAGGGAAAATAAATTTCGGAAAAGTACGGACAGGCTCACTGCAGATTTCTGAATTCCACTGCAGACCTATAAAAATTCAAAATGTCAAATACCCCCACTCTATACACCAATGCCTGCCCATGAATTGGCATCAATTCTGAGCTGGCACCTACCCCAACTGTACGTTGGGCTTAAGAATTCTGACGCTGGGCTGAACCGTCATTCTCCCAATAAATTTTCCCTGGACCCCACGCAAATCTGAAAAAAGAACATGGGTATCTTGGTCAATGGGAACCAAAATCCCATTGACCAACTATCCCCCCTCTCAAAATCCAAAAAACAAATGGGCCCTAGGATTGCCATTGTCTGAGTTTCCAACCTTGATAGGGGTCCCTGGAGATTTGATCATTTACTGGAGTTCTAGGAGACCTCCTCAGATCTCTGTTGCTTGTTTAGATGGATCATGAGGAAGCTGAACACTTTAGCTGAATCTCTTTCAAAATTGAGGGTGGATAGAAATTTTTTGTAATGTAATTTTTGGGGTTTCTGTTTCTTTGTAAATCCTTCATGTACATCCCCCCCTCCTGATCCCTTATGAACAGAAAGTTACCTTCTCTCTCTCTCTCTCTCTCAAAAAAAAAAGGGGGAAAAGAGACCAAGAAAATTGTAAATATGATTCGCAAGTTCAGAGTAAACACGAACTTAAGAAGGAACCTAGCAAGATATTTCTTTCAATGGTTGTGATGCAACTTCAAGAGAGAATTTTAAATATAATCAGGTTTCAGATTTTGAGACTCCTTTACATGCTTTTTCATTGTCTTGCAGTAGCAAGACTCCTTAAGCGGGTGAATGTTGCCAAGTCATGTAAAATAGTAGAAGCTGGAGATGCCAAAATCAAAGTTTTTGATGGTACAGCCTATTAGCTTTTTTTTAATCTGTCATGTATTCAAATGTTACAAGAGACAGATAAAAAATGTTTTGTATAATAAGACAAGTTAAAGACTGTCATAGCAATGTTGGTTGATATAAAAGACCAGCTGCAGTGTAGTCTTATTTATCAATGCTATGGTTGAAAGTGCTATTGTTACATATGTAGCATGGGTTACGTGAACAAGGATAAAGTGTTTCAGAATTTTGTGAAGATTACTTGTTTCCTAATCTTCATCTAGAACAATAGCCATGGTGGAGTGGGGGCGGACAGATCCCAACCTTCTTTCACTTTGATAACTGCAGTCTGAAACAATGAGGGGACCTTGTTAATTGTCTTATTTGGATCCATAGGATTTGGAGACTAGACAAAATAGCATAATTGTTAGCAGTATGAAGTAGTCGATCAAGACTACAATCAGTCTTGAATCTAAAAGTAAAAAGGTTTCAGATGGAGAAAAGAAGAAGAAGAAAGAAGAAGAAAAGAAGGAGAAGCAGAAGTACACAATGTGAAAATTTGAGAGAAAAATGAATTGATTGTATTGTCTTGGAAGGAGCATATACACAACTTTATATAGAATTACAGAGCTAAT